AGGTCCCCTTTAATAAAGTTCAAATAGTTTTCAGTTTCCACATCTTTTAGGCTACGTTTACACTAGTGCGTTTTCGCTTCAAAACGCATAGCTTAGAATCATAATTTCTATGCATTTTCCACTGATTTACTGATGAGCATTAACATTTTTGGTCGTGTAGTGTGGACGGAGATCTTTTCTGAAACGCAGTATTGATGGTATTGAGGCAAATCGGGTCGGTGCTAAAAAGTATCGAACACGATACCCAGCCATACTTGTGCGAGTGAGGAAGAACGTGACAACCGCTCCAGGTTTTGTGCAGGGCAACTTTTCATCTCTGGCACTCTGACAACGGCCCAGTCCCAAGAATTCACCATGGTGCAATTATCAAGCATGCTAACTAACCTCATTATATGCTCAGAAGTGTATGTGTGCCAATCACTCGAGTCTCACATGAGTCTTTTGAAAGGAACAAAGACTTCAGAACAAGGCATGGATATATATGCTTCTGTTCTGGAGCATTGCTCATCAGAAAACTATCTGGCACGTCACTTCTCTCTGAATGCTCGGTTCTGTGCTGGATCAGTCTTGGGAAAATTAGATGTTTGATGTGATGTACTAAAACATAATGATCTGGTGATTATGTTCATCTTTGTAATGTACGTCTTTTTTAACATGTACTCACAATGTGAACATTTTAACTGTGAAGCAGAAGTTATAACTGGAACTAAACCTTTTGTCCAATGACTTTCCTTGACTTTTCCATGACTTAGTTTTCCTTGTTTAGACTGAGGTTATTTTGAAGATCGGGCTGATTTCTCATTGCTTTAATTTGTGACTTTAATACAGTAGCATTCTAATCAGATGTGACCCAAATATGAGCGACCAAGTGGAAGTACTCAAAGACAAAATGAGACCAAAGTTCATGTGGCACAATGCCCTTCACTTGGATTTTCAAGGATTTAATAAGAGCCGGCAGCTATATGTGCAGTATTATAGTTCCCATGGTTAATCATTCTATCTACCAGATAATGATATAAACTCAGCAGCTACACCAGTCCCAAAGAAGGAAGTGCAATGTTTAAATAATAATAATAAAAAAATAATAATAATAATATTTATCAGGATGAACTGTGGGTAACCTTTAAAGATTAATCTTCATTATCAGTTCTTATATCAGTTTTAACATTAACTTAATCATAACATGCAACATTTCATTTTGATAAAAGCTTTATAATTATGCGTCACAATGACGGCACTGCATTAGACACACAATAAAAATGTTTTATGGCTATATTCTGTGCAGATGGCCATCGAAAGTGAAGAAGGCTTTGTTGAAAATGCCTGAGAGACATTGAAACAAGTGATATGGAGATAAAAGAGAAATTGACCTCTAAACCAAAGTTGCCTAGCAACATGTAAATATTGGTGCAGAAATTTCAAGCAAACAGCATGCAATACACTTTTTATCATAAAAAATAAACCATAAAAAAAAAAATCTAATAAAATGGCTCAATATCCACTGATAATGAACACACAAGTCCTTTTAAAGCATACTTGGCAATGCAAGCCTGGCTGAGATACAGTCTCTTCCACAAGAATCAACACAGATCCAAAATAACAACAAAACTGTGAGAAACACTCCACGTCCGCATTACTGTGATAGTCAACAACAGATATTTCTTTCAAATAAACATATCATCTGAAGCTACATGTTTCCAGTGAGACAATCATAGAGATGAGTAATTGCATATAATTATGTTGTCATAGGCAATGGCTCGGGGTCATAGAGCTGTGAGTTTCCTGTACCACACATACTGTATCCCTCCTCCCCCCTTCCTCTGCTCCTGCTCTCTCTATAGCCAGAGAATATGGAAAACAGGACGCAACAGGATGCAAAGAGGCCAGTGTCGTTGGGACTTCCAAAGCCAACATTTTACTGCGCTTTTGCTGGGTTCTATAAATATTCAAATGAGTGTTCTAATATGCAAGAACTGAAAAAAAAAACCTTAAGCCAAATGTTAGTTGATGTGCAGGTTTCTAGTTGGTAATGAAAACTAATAGGCCTATGCTTTTGAAACTTCATAATCCTGATTATGCATAATTTTTGAAAGCCATTGCTTTGATGATCAGTTAAAATACATTTTGCATAATTGTGTGTCCTCAGCAGGGATGGGAGGACATTTCTTCTCTGTACAAAGGCAGGGATGTCATTTATAGAAATACAGGGCAGCTGTGAGTGAGTGAGTAAAATGTTTAAATAATCGAAATTTTTTTTTTTAAACTAGCTTTTATTGCTAGAACTTATTTACAATATTTAAAAAAATAAAATAATTAAATAGAAAAAAAAAACACCAAAATGTACTGGTAATTTTCTGCCAGGACATTATCCAGTAATTTTACAGACATTTCTGTTAACCCTAAAACACAATGGAATGAAGTGCAAAATTCAAAATACAAGTGAAACACCTGTAAATAAATAAATAGATAAATAAATAAATATAGAAAATATATATATATGTATATATAAAACATTGTTTTCTGCTTTAGTGTTAAAAACATTGTATAATAGCACAAAGTAAAAGCTTTTAATTGATAAAGTCAGTGTTCACACACATTTCGTGGAATGACACAAGAGGGATTATAAAGGTTAGACGTTTAACCGGAGCAGTCGCGCATGCGCACACACTTAAGTTTACAGTCACCTAATACGGTGTTCAAAGCATCCATCATTCATATGAATGAAACACAGATAAATAACGTTAACTCGGCCCTTCAGAACACAAAAGTTAAACTCTTTAACAATGCATACAACCAACCGAGTTTCCATGACATACACCCTTTACTCATTTTCTGGAAAACTTTGGTCACAAACTTAACTTATCAAAACAAAACTATTCTGACTAATCGAAAAACAAAATAATATAACTAAAGCCAACCAAATGCAAAACTATGAATAAATATAACTATCTCTGATAGACAGAGAGCTGCACCAAGTGCAATATTTGCAAATACCACACAAAAGACACAATTAAAATCCCGTATTTAAACAGAATTTTGCTTGTCACTAAAAGAAATGATCCGCGAAATTCACCTGACGACTGTTAATATGGATTCATTCATTAGCAGCATGCTAGCTCGCCAATGTAACGTTAAAAGCAATTAAACACAACCTAACAACAAACAACAAACCTCTAGGTGCTCTAAATAGAAGACACGCACCAAATAGAGTAATTAAAGTCACTCACATTATCTGTAAGTCCGGCAAGAGTAGCTGTCTTTATGAACAGAGAAGCAACAGACTGTCCCGGTTAGCGGTGACAGATTCCCTCGATGTGAAATATTCCCTTTTCAAAAGCGCTGTTCTTGCTTTAAGTGTGCCCGGCTTCAAACTGAAGTCCACAGGAATAACAGCGACCTCAGTGGTGACACTGTATCTGTGACAGACACGGGCTGTGTTTCAAAACACAGAGAGCTGACTACCTATACAGCTTCTGTGGGCGTCATACAGTCAGCGCGTGTAGCGACTTGGCCGTCACAGGACTTTACATCTTACCTGATGGCCCAAAATGCCTCCTAGGTAGGGTGCTCACTAGGTTATTGAGACACAGCCGCTATTTTCGTTCATCTAATCACTAAAATATCATGACTTTTAACACACAGCCAACACCATTTATTTACTATAAAAGTAGAGTAATGTGTTTTACGTGGAAATATTAGGCTATGACTAGTTTAATGACTGTGTAGTAGCCTATATAAACGAGTAAAATGCATAGGCTACAAATGAATGAGTTTAATCAAAACAAATGTTTCATTTTCATTTGATCAGTTCTCTTCACACAAATCGCGTTGCTTCATCAGCATTCTATAAAAAAAAAACTGTTTTAATCGTTGTGGGACTGAACAAAAAGCACAGTTTTCTCAACAGGGGCTTTATAAATATATATGCACACTATAGAATGAATAACTCATGTTCCTAGTGGAAAATAGGCTAGGAATATGAACCAGGTCCAATATCAAAACAATTATCAAATCGTAAAATGATATTCTAAGAAGAAGTCCCACTGTATTGTTGATAAAGTTGTGTTGAAAATGAAAAAGTGTCTGTTGAGGGATGAGGAGAAAGTCAAGAGCTGCCTACTGGATTGTCATGGTTACTAAAAGGTGCGCAACTGATACAAACTGGAGACTCATTAATATTTTATTGGCTTGTAATTCAAAACTTATAGAAGTATTCCTAAGTTGAAATCTAATACCTCATTGAAAGCAGACTTTGTTTGTAAATCTAATTAGGACACATGATATCTCACTACGTGGCACTGTATCACATTTCTGAGCAAAACAGCTAGGAGAAAAACAGTTTTTAGTTTAAAGACTTATATTTTTACATGCTGAAATGTTCCTCAGGGTGTTTATACAGTTAAACTAGCAGCTTGGGTTAGTCTCACATATAGCCATGAAGCATTGTAGGCTAATATCTGACAAGATTTTACAGAATTATATCTTGTATTTGAACACATATTAATATTAAACATCAGTTCCTTCAGAAACAAGTTTCAAAACAGGTTAAAACAGGAGTTTTACAGTCATGTCTGGTGAGCATGAAGAAACACCATTAATTGGATTTAATGCCACACTGACTTTTGCATTTCCCAGGAGCTTCGCAGCGATAAAAACAATCGTACAATGTGCTCCAGAGCACATATGCCAGTAACACAACATAAGCGAACGTATAAGAGAAGAACAGCTTGATTTCCAGACACTGTGACTCATCTTAATGATGGTTGTTTCTAATGAAAAAGCCTGAAGTGAGGAGGAGTGTTATGCTAGCTGGGAGATATTCTAGTTGTTTTCCAGTTACATGAAAGTATAATAGAACTTGAGTCTAAATATGCAATTTCAGCCCATTTCTGGAAGTGGAACTGTAAAATTATATGGTTAACATGCACCAAAAAAGCTTACTAATTAAACAGACGTTGTACACAAATTTCATAGTGAACTATTGAAAATCATTTTCATTGTCTGAAAATAAATACATAAAGTACTAATATACACATTTAGGCCTATTCAAATGGGATAATATTTATTTATTTTATTAAATATATTAATACTATCAATCAAAAACACAAATCAAACAGCAAACTGAGTATTTGGGTTTGCCCTCCTTATACCCTCAGTGGTAACCAATCCCTCAAAAACATTTCAGCTTAAATTACAGCTCATTCCATATGTTGCTGGCCTGCTGGCAGATGGGTAATTCCACAAAGCACTGAAGTAATAACTGAGTGTTGAGTGTGTGATCCACTCAAAGAGTCTCATTAGCTCTAACACTTCAGAATTAAAAGAGATAAAGGAAGTTTCTCATATGGAGAACACAGCAGGGATGCAATCTCAAGAGAGGGGAAGAAGGTGAGGCCGTCACAGGTGGTCATTTTCAAGGTTTCAAAGTTGATCAAATGATACAGGCTATGAGACGTTTCTTTTAAACTAAGAATTTACTGAACTTCCGGGTCTTACAAATCTAGTTTATTTGCTTATAGTTCTCATACTTGCTACAGTGTGCACATTAACCCTTTGAAGAAGGATTGTAACCACACAAAATAATGTTCTTTTTAGCAGCATCATATGACCCCTTTAAACACCAATATTCGGTATGGTCAGCCGATATATTCTAAACTAATGATTCTTTATTTTTTTTTGCATTTGATTTCCCCAAGTCTTGAATATTATACTCTGAAGTGCAGAGGGATCAGGTGGTTCATTATCATCCAAAAATTCTTGCCCAGGTTGAAACACAGAAATACATCAAGCATTTCAATTTGAGGATTGGAAGGCAGACAGTCATCTGTCTTGAGCGTGCAGGATGCCAATCTAATCATCGGCATAAACAGGCAAAAATTCTGCCCTCGAGCAGAGACAGAAGCAAGTCTGAAAGAACTAATGAGTTTAGAATATGCATAAGCCATGTTGGGGGAAAAAATGTATTCATTTTATGTGTGCTTATTTGGGCCTTTAACCACAGGAATGAAATCTTAATGTTTGGATTGCTTAAGGAAACAGCAAGGGCTCTTGTATATGACTTTCAGTCATTTTTAGACAACTACAAATAAGCCATTTATAAACTAATTTCCTTGAAGAATTCATAGAGTTGCTGTTTATTTGAGCATCTCAACCAGCACAGTACAGCAACATTGGCTCAACCAATGACGTGGGTTTGAGACGGGACTAACCCTTTTACTGAGTATTTGGGGAAACCTGTTGGAAAAGAGTTATTTTTTTGCAATTCTGTTTAGAAATTACACAATTCGGGTTTAAGTGAGTCTTTCACCACAACAAATACAATTTTTAAAAATAACACACTTGGATTCAGCATCTGGCCATTTTATTTTGATAGATTCTATTTACAGCAAATATTTTATTGAATTTCAATAACAAATCATCCATTTCCAAAGCAAATTACTTATTAAATGTAATAATTATTCATTTAAGGCAGCATTAGAATGAAACAGATGCTCATCAAAATACCTTGAGGAAGCTCTCTACATACTGCAGAATGTAGATGCCACAGTCTGTATAGTTATCCTGTTGTGGGACGAGGGGACTCCATCCATTCATCACTCCATTTCCAAAACTCTGTTCAGAGCCCATTTTGACCTTCCATTCCTCTTGTAAGTACCTTGGGTTTACAGAAAATATTTGGCTAGAATGGCAATGTTGTCTTGCGCTCATTGATACGCCCCCCCCCCCAGGTAAATATAACTAGCCGGCTAACATGCATGTGGTTTGCTCGGTTTGTGGGCAGATTTCCATTTTTATGTCAGCAACGAGTCGAGTTCTAGCATACAAACGTCTCCAATGAGATTTGAATGTGGTGAAGGACTTAGCTTTCTGAGCTGCTCCCTCTTGAGGAAGACAGCATTTTGGCGACATTTGACATTAATTGGCGACATTTGCTGCCTAATGCATGATACAGAAGTACAAGAGAAAATGTGTGCTCTCTATTAATGCACAAGTGCAAAAATAATCAAGCACTTGAAACAGAAGATAATTACTCTTGGAGTATCTGCACCACTGATGATCTTCCACTGCAGGCGAGGGAGTCCATGATGAGCATGCATGGCCTACAAACACAGAAAGTCCATCAATGACTGGGTACAATGGAGCATTTCATTGACTTGTTACTGCCATCTAGTGACGGGTAAAGGGAAAACATGGAAAACACTAAACAGTGAGTCAAGTTTCACTTTCAACAGTGAAACTTGACTCACTGTTTAGAGACATTACTTTTACTGTTAAGGACAGATCTGTTCTTGACCATCTGTAATTCAAAAATAGAAAAGGTTAATTCACTCTCCACTGATTTGTTACAGAGTTAGAAAGCGATTAACTCACATTACCTGAACATCATCCTCTGAAAGGGAGCAGAAACACTGGTCTAAGTCATCTATGGGGGAAAAACATGCATAATGAGAGATAAATCACAGAAAATAATTTTCACTCATCCCTCAAAAAAAAAAATTGAATACCTTTCTTCAGGAAGGATGCATCAAATTGATCAAAATTGACAGTGAAGACATTTATAATGTTACAAAAGATTTCTATTTCAAAAATAAATGCTGTTCTCTCTAACTTTTTTTTTATCAAAGAATTCTGAAAAAAGTATTATGGTTTGAACTAAAATATTAATCAGCACAAATGTTTTTAACATTGACAATAATACATCTTTCTTTAGTATACTGAAAATTCAGTTTTGCCTTCACAGAAATTAATTACATTTTAAAATATATTTAAATAGAAAATAATAATATTTCACAATATTAGTGGTTTTATTATTTAATGGTTTTTCATTTTTGATCAGATAAATGCAGTCATAAATGAAGTATTAAATAAATTAAGTATGATGTATGAGACTTCAAAATATGTTAAAAAAAAAATATATATATATATATATATATATATATATAGTTAAAAAAGGCGTGTTACTGAATATTTCATGTATTTCAGCTTTTACACCCTCCAGAATGTTGGAAAACAAAAAACAGAAGAAAAAAAACAACTGTGATAAAAAAAATAAAAATACAAAAAAAAACTCAAATACTCTCAAAACAATTTAGCTTGTATTAAGTATTTGTGGCTATACATTCGAAAGTCATAGACTTCCATTCATTCCTTTGCTTAAGTCAAAATCAACAGCATGACACATGACACTGAACGGGCTGCAAGTCGTTACAAAATCAGTGACCAAAAAGAACCAAATATACACAGAAATCTGTCAAGAAAATAGTAAACGTTTTACTAAGTGCTGTATCATGGAACAGTTTGGATTTCCATGTTCTCTCATTCAAAAAGAAGCAAAATAATTAATCTAACAGATTTTGTCCTTTATCTACACCACCATTTTGCTCTGGCACCACATTGGTTTTCTAAATTACCTATGGATTGACTCCATCTGGAGAGCTGCTTTGAGGATTCTGGAGAGTAGAAGAGGGACATGGGATTGGGTGGAGATTGATCACAAAGATAGTCCACTGAATACCTTCGCCCACTGAGGCGAAGATCCAAACCACTGGTCTGTGACATCTTGCCAGGAAAACAGATGACAGTCCAGTGAGCCCTGAGGACACATTACACAGGAGGGACTCTTATTAAGACATGCTCTTTATTTTACCTACAACCTGAAAGTCTGCCAGAACATTTTGGGATGCAGGATGTGCAGCTTTGTTAAGAGACTCACATTTGATTAATCGGGACAAATATAAAGTCCTTGTCAAAAAGGTTGATGCTCCTGGTCCACGTTTTCACCCGACTGTGCCGGTGCTCTTGCATGCCGCAATACAGTGCAGCGCAGTGTGTTTACACCAGTTATGTTTATGTACTTTTTACAATACCATATTCTATACTTACGATAAATGTGTAGTTCCTGGAAGCCTTCTATGATCTTTTTGAGAGAGCCACTTGAAGAAGAAAGAGCTGAACACATGGTACTTGGAGGCATCCTCCTTTTCCAGCTTCTCGCAGACCAAATACCTGGCCAAAATACAAGACTTATGTCATTACAGTGCCAGTATACTGAAGTAGATAGCCACAATTTTAAAAACGTTAACCTTAGCTAGAAGTTTATTATCACATCGGTTATACCCCCCTTGACTGAAGGAGGTGGGTACACAACCAGTCTGCAAAGAGATGGTGAGAAGAGTTCTTCTAGATAATAATATCACAATAACTGAGGCCGGCCAACTGACTTTTTGATATCCTGTTGAGGCGATGAAGGAAGCTCTATCAAATTGTCCTCATCACTGTCTGAGACACTGAGGGCTGCAATTTCATATCGATGAGGATCAGGAGAGGCCGAGCCCTGCACCAAGCCCTGCTAAACATTGAGAGAAAGAGCTGAAAAACATGTTAAAGGAAGATTTATTTTGCTCTATTATATAACTGGTGCTCAAAGATTCATATCTTGTTGATTCTGTGGTAATATAAAAGGAAAAGGAAAGGTACGAGGAAGAGGAAATAGAAGTAAAAGGACAAGGAATTGGGACGGATAAGAAAAAAAGGAAAATGAAAAAAGAAAAGAAAGGGGAAATAAAAGAAAAAAGGAAGGGACAGGAAAAAGTGAAGTAAAAGGGAATGAAAATGAGAAAGGAGGAGGAAAGAAAAATGAAAAGGAAAGGAAAAATGGACAAGCGAAAGGAGAAGTAAAAAGAAAGGGGAAAGGAAAAGGAAGTAAAGGGAAAGGAAATGGAAAAGGAAAGGAAAAAGAACCAGAAAAGGGAAAGTAAAAGGACAGAAAAATGGAAAGGGAAAATTAAAGTGAAAGGCAAGAAAATAGAAAAAGGAAAGGGAAACAGACGTAAAGAGACAAAGAAAGAGAAAGCAAAAGGAAAGCTAAAGCAATAAAAAGGAAAGGGAAAAGGAACAAGGAAAATAACGGAAGAGAAAAATACAAGTTTGAAAAACCTGACTCGTGACAGGAAGTTCATCATCTTCAGGCTGAAGCACAGTGAACTAAACAGCAAAATAAAATGGATGTTATAGGAAAGGACATCAAATAGAAAGCAACAGCACTATACAGAGTCTGAGGAGCACTTGTCATTTTTAAGTTCAGTTGTCTTAATGCACAAAGTTTAATTTTTATACAGAAAAGTAAAATTAAATGACTAGTGCACCTTTAATCACCATAATAAATAGTCATTTACATTTATTTGATCTACGACTGACTAATGCAAGGAAGTTCGAAACCACATGACTTTCCTCAAAAAGAAAAAAAGAAAAGAATAAAATACAGGTTTGGAACGTGATGACATCATGAAGGTGACACATTTTAACTGCGTGCCATCATGACCCACCTCCTGTTTCTGGGCACACTGATGTGTCTTCAGACTGGGGGGAATCAACAGATAATCACAAGAATGTTTAAACTAAATAAATAAATAAAAACATTAAAATGATTACAAAAACTAAAACTGTTCCTTATTTTTTCAAACTTATATTGTTTACAGAGCGTCTGCCTTCAAAAACAATCGTCTATTTCCTCAATATTTACATTTACATTGGGGAAGTCGTGGCCTAATGGTTAGAGAGTCGGACTCGTAACCCAAAGGTTGCGATTTCGAGTCTCGGGTCCGGCAGGAGGTGTAGGTGGGGGGAGTGAATGTACAGCGCTCTCTTCCACCTTCAATACCATGACTGAGGTGCCCTTGAGCAAGGCACCGAACCCCCAACTGCTCCCCGGGCGCCGCAGCATAAATGGCTGCCCACTGCTCCGGGTGTGTGTTCACGGTGTGTGTGTGTGTTCACTGCTGTGTGTGTGCACTTAGGATGGGATAAATGCAGAGCACTAATTCCTAGTATGGGTAACCATACTTGGCCACATGTCACGTCACTTTCACTTTCACTTTACAGTTGTGCTCAAAATTATTCATACCCTTAAGGGGGTATGTTACCAATTGGTAAATCAAAGAAGGCTGTGAAAATAAATCCGCATTGTTTATCCACTTGATCGTTCATTAAAAAAAAAAAAAA